CCGCCGAAACAAGAAAAAATTTCTTTTTTTAAAAAAAAAAAAAAAAAAAAAAATGCTGAGTCTCACCAGGGAGGCTTAAAAACATTTTTCTCTTAATTAGGTCCTTGTTTTTGTCATCTATTGTAAGATAAAAGTATTAAAAAGGTTACATCACTGTATATTAAGCAGTAAGACCTACCAGCTCATTTTTATGGTTAATAATATGTATTAACTGGATTCGGAAAAGGCGTGCCCAAATTAAACATTGGTCCTAGGAGTTTCTGGATGAAATTACTGTTTGAATCTAAGAACTCAGTAAAGGAAACCATCCTCTCCAGTGTGAGCAGACATTGTCTACTCTTCAGAAATGAAACTGAAAGTCCCGGGCCTCATTGTTCCCGGAATAGCACTCACTGCTCTGAATTGCCCGCCAAAAAGTCCCGGGCTTTCGAAACCTCTTAACGGATCAGGGACTTTTCGGCGCCAAAATTCCCCTGTTAAACCCCTCCCCTATATTCATGGCCCCGTACGAATTAACCAATCTGCAAATAGCCTCATATGAATTAACCAATCCGCAAATCTGCTTCTGTAAAGCCCGCTTTCCTGCTCTTCAAACTATATATAAGCAAGATCATCCTTGGCGGGGCGCTTCTCTTGTCTTCGGACATTAGAGACGCCCGTGGCCCACGCAATAAAACCTCTGCATCTTGCATCCGTACGGTCTCGGCTGGTCATTGGGGGAAGGTGCGTCGAGTCAGACCTTACAAAACGGTACCTTGCTTTATTACACATTGTATATTTAAGTATTGAATAACCAGAAGGTACTCCATAAAGATGTGCAAATATTCAACAATAAAAAGAAAAATCACGAAAAGATCATCACTGGAAAAAGAGGAAAACAAAACAATCTTGGACATGTGAGTTAGAGTGGATTTGAAATGATACAAAAAACTTTCTGGTAGAAGAATCCCAGAAGCATTCTTTTCATATTAGGGATTCTCAAGAAAAATATTGTTGATTTATTACCACATTGCTTTGGAAATAAGACCTAGCTGGAAAATAATCTGCCTTGAAATCTAGAGATAAAAAATGCCAGCCCCAATCAGCCTATCCTACCCTTTCCTGTCTTACAGAGCAGCCACTGAGCATGGAAATAGTGATGGCAGGTAAGGCAAAGATGAGTTGTTTGGGGCTGGCATTTTTTATCTTTAGTTTTCAAGGCTGATTATTTTTCAGCTAGGTCTCATTTTCAGGGAGAGGCATTTTTTTTTATTGATGAACACTTGAAACATGGACATGATCATTATAAATACTACCCAATAGGTATGTGCAGTTTTTTTTTGTATTAATAAAGAGTGTGTGTCTGATTATTGCAGGGGGGGGGTTGTATTTTTTAATAAAATTTGTAGTCCAATGGACACACAAAACAAAACCGTGCTGAGAAAACATTTTCATAAATTAATAAGCATTAGGACGTGGAAGAGCGGTCTGGACCACAAGGAGGTTGGCCAATCTTTTTGTTCAGGTGCTGTGTGACACTTCCATGTCACAGTGATTATTGTTTTTGATCTGACATTTTCTTTATGCAAAACAGCACCATGCAATCAATAAACATGATGCAGAACAATCTCATAAGCTGACCCAGTTCTTATAAGATAAAATCAAGCATGAATCAGGTATATGTTTCTTTAGGCTGGCTTGGAGACATTTAACCTGGAAATCTAGAGATTTCTGTAATATAAAGAATGAAGGGAGTTGGGTTAGGGTCAAAGGAGAAGGGAGTTATGTACATTTCCTAAGCTATCCTTACTGTGTTAATCCTGCAGATGTAGCTTGTTTTCAATAATGAAAAAATGCCTGCAGCAGTTGCTCATGAATTATTGGATTCCAGAGCAAAGTTTCTCTCCTTTACCTGCGTTGGTAGCCATGGAAATGGTTTCATAAATGATGCCAACTTCCTACAGTCCAGGGAGGTAAGCCTCATTTTGAATTCATGTTTCTAGTTCTTTAATGGAGTCTTCAAATGCACTCTGCAAACTATTCTATTTTGCTACACTCTCACCCAGAGCTTACAAAATGTTATCTTTTCCTTTCTGTTAAAATCTCCCATCTCATGTCCTCATACCACCCCTCCTCCCTATCGAATTCCCAGCTGGAAACCTCCTCTCATGTTTCATGATGAAAATAGAAAAAGTCAGAAAAGAAGTCTTTCTGTCCTCTAAACTCTTTTTTACTCTCTCCACCACCCTCCCCCAAATTTTCCTTCGACCTCTGATTTCTTTCTTTTTTTATTTTCTTCCTCTGATTTCAATGAAGGGACTATCCATCCATCTTTCAAAAATCGATCCTTTCATAGCTCAGGTCTGCACCAAGTTTTTGGCTGTCTTCTACAATATTTTATCTCTTTGTATATGCCTTTATTTCTTGCATATTTAATTTTCCCCTCTTTGGTGATTTTTTTTGCCAGTACAGAAACAACACTTCAGTGTTACCAGTTAAAGGAGGGGGAGGAAGATAAGACAGCTTTCCATTTTGATTATCTCTCTGAACAGCATCTCTTCTCTCTTTTCCTCTTTAAGTAGTAGGCTCCTCATAGCTATGACAAAATATCTCCAGACATGGTCATTAAATTCTTTATTGAGTCATCTAGTATATACTTTTTGAGACGCTACTGTGAATATTTTCAGATACGTGAAAATTAGGACAGCAAGCAATTAGTATATCAGAAATAAGTGATAGGTGAGGAGTTAAGATTCTGTTAGGCAGTAAGGACAGGGACCCCAGAATGGAGTGGGCTGAGTCATGACCCTCCAGAAATCTTACAGAAACATCTGCCAGGTAAGCTTCGGTTGTCTGGGACCCCTCAGAGCATGATCATTGGCTAAAAGATCCATGAGCCCTGCATAGACATTGCGTCAACACAGCACGAATTAGACCCCTAAAATATGCAGTCGCCTACAGGGTAGAGATCATATGTTTTTACGCAGTGGCTAGCTAAACGCCTCCCAAGCCCCTAGAGAAAGAGCCTTCACGGTTACCCTACTCAGAAACCCTTCCCAGCTTTACTTCCTTGACTTTATACGCTTTATTTTGTAGTCTGTATGTTTACTTTCTTGACGTTACCACCGTTTGAGTAAATTTTCTTGCACTCTGCCTGCTCTTCTCACGGTGTCATTTTCATCATCATCAGACACAACCCAGGTGTTCCTGTCGCATTAGCACTGCGGAACGGTCTCAAAGTGGAAGACGGAGTCTACGGCAAAGTATGTCTACTGTCCCCTTCTAGGTGTCAGTATCAGCGTGTCCACTAGCCATTGAAACCGGACATAGTCGCCAAATGAGATTATTCTGTGATGAATATGGAAGTCTCAGCTGCCTTATCAATGGATCTACTTTCTTAAAGGGGAGAGAGAAGAGTGCTCCTTTGGGTAAGCTCCGAGAATCCCAAATGTCCGAAACCCACCCATTACCATCAAGTCTTAAAAAAGAATTTTCAGTCACGGAATCCTCTACACACAGAAATAACATTTTGTAATTTACCAAGTTCTTAAAGCCACGTCCCTGCTAAAAATACCACTTCAACTTGAGAAGCTGAAATCTACAGTTCTTAACTTTTAGAGTTAAAACTTTGATGTGATTTTACAGAAATTTGAAATTATACTAATGTCCTTGGCTACTAAGCCATTATTTATCATCATGCTCATTTCTTGAATAGCATATGTGATTTTTTAGTTTTGTGCTGACATCAAAGTCTCTGCCTTTTAGTTATTAGTCATAAGGCTAGAAAGAAAACATTTATTATTATTTGGTGAGAAGCATGCAGCACAGACAATAGTTGATGAAAAAATGAAAGATCACATCAGAAATGCACCTAAATTAGCTCAGAGAGCTCTCTCTGAATTTACTTTTGAGGTAATGGAGAGGGCTTAAATGAAATTGATATTAGTATCTTAGTTTCGGTTATTTTATTAGTTTAAGAGACCTAGGTGAAATGACGTCCGTGAATAGATGCATGATGGGGGAAGAGGTAATTAAAAGATCAAGAGAACAGGGACTAATCAAAGAATATACCTCCATAGGTATCAGTCAGTCAGTATGAGCCGAGCTTACACCAGCACCCTCCAATATCTTCATTACTCTTTGTATTACTCAGTGATAGAGATTAGACATATGTTAGTGATTAGAAAAACAGGTATAATAAACAAATACGTAAGAATTCACAAAATAGGCTTACAACGGTCACCCACAGAGTGGGCTGTGGAAGAGAGCAGAGGGTCTGTCTACACTGCAGACCAAGGGGCTCAGCTGAAGGTCTGGAGCTCACTGAAGTGTGCCGTGAAAGTCCCCATCAGGAGACCAATGGCTCTGCACCGGAAGCCAGGAGATGACATTGAAGGTGAAGGAGAAGACTGGAGCTCCTCCAAAGAATCAGAAACAAAGCTGTCCTTCATTTCCCATTTGTACCATTTAGGTGACAAGCTGCCCTAGGGTGTGGAATTGCTGAGCCAAATTAGTTGAACTTCTCTTAAACAAGTTGACACAAGGAATCAGCCATCACACACCTCAAAGTCCCTGAAAATTAGATAC